TGGAAATTCTAATTAAAAATTAAATAAATCTGCTTTATATAAAAAGTTACTAAAATGCAATCTGAGTTTGATTTATTAAAACAACGGGTTATTGATCTTGAGGCTGAGAATGTGAAGCTAAAACAAATTATTAAAGAAAATGCTAAACGCGAAGCTGAGAACATTAACCTTAAGATGGAACTAGAAAAAAATAAAAAAGATATCACCTATCTCTCAGCTAAAAATTCTGAGCTTAAAATCAAAGTAGCAAAATTAAGCTGTGATTTTGAGAAAATAAAATCAAAGGGAATAATCACTGATTTTCTGGAGCAATTGTCAATTTCCGAGAAAAAGATAGTAAGTGTTTCTACCAAAATAAAAAATTCTAGTATTATCCCCGAACAAATAGACTTACATACTGGGGATGTTTCAGCATCAGATATATCTGATGAAACTTCAAATTCTAATGATATTTTCACAAAAGAAATTTCGCCACTTAATGAGAGTTAACCCAATAAGAAGGAAATTATTACTCCTGACCCTATAACCAGAATAGAACATAGCTCAATCCAGATTCAAAAAACTGAATCATCTACAATCTCTTTGTCACAAAATATTATCAATGACAATATGGACAAGACTCTTGATTTTGTAGAAATGAAATATAAAGAACATGTTAGTAAAGAGATAATGGAGAGAATTAGGGAAAAGAAACTTTGAGATCAAAATTCATCTTTAAATAGTATTTTATTGGAATCATCCTACGAAAATCAAAATCTGGAATCATCTATAATATTGCAATCTATCTCTAATAGTTCTGAGTTATCTTTGGATAATAAATCATTATGTGATTCTGAGTCCAAATCACCTAATCAGAGGCATGAAACGCTTTGCTCCACAAAAATTCCTTATAATCAAAAAGTAGAACGAGATTTAAAACTCGAGCTATCTATTTGCACCAAAGATAATAACCACAAGATTAGTAAAGTATTTGATATTCAGATTCCTGAATTCTCTTTAGAAATGATTTTATCAGGATCTAATAGTGTTACATCACAAAATATAATTGATCTATTTAGGGTAGCAATGAAGATTTGGCAAAAGGAAAGTTTGTGCTGGTATTGTTATTATAAAGCATATGAGAATCGAGTCAGTGATATTAAGATTGCAAATAATAATGGAGCTAGTACTAGAGTACATATTGATGACCAATCAGCAAAAACGATAGTATATAATGAAATAAAATCGCTCCTTCCTGATATCACTGATATAAACTTGCATAAAATAACCTCTGTAAAAAAAATAAAAGACAAAAATCAGAAAAAAATCTGGTTTTTTAGTTCCAGAAAATCACAAGTTTTGTTAACAAATTTCTGGATTAAAATCTGATAAAAATCTGATTAAAAATCTGGAAACTTTGAAATGTGATATCTCATGAATTACAGATCCAATTCGGACGAAAATATCACCATTTGATTTGTTTAGTCTTGGCGAATCAAATGGTGATATTTTCATCCAGATTGGATCTGTGAATCGCGAGATATCACGTCTCAAAGTTTCTGAATCAATTTTTTTGATTTTTTTATTTAAAATTAAAATAAATGCATTATTTCCAAACACACTATCATTAAATTCAAATAGTTTTGATGAATTTAATAATAGTAATTTTTACAAATATGGTTTGGTAATTCAAAAGATATCATGTTTCAAAGTTGTTGAATTAATTTTGATTTTTTGAAAAAAAACATATTTTAATTTGGAACACTTAATTTGAAGCATGATATATCATGATCCACCAGACCAAATTTCACCAAAATTCAGCCACTACTCCACTAAATCTCAGTAAATATGTGGCTTTATTTTTATCCAATTTGGTTAAGTAAATAATAAAATATTAATCCTTTTTAAAAAATAGGGAAAATAAAAAAATATCCAGTAACTTTGGGACGTGATATCTCACAAACCATGAAACCAATTCAGACGAAAATATCACCATTTGATTTGCCAAGATTAGATGAATCGAATAGTTATATTTTTATCTGAATTGGTTTTGTAGTTCGCGAGATATCGCGTTCCAAATTTACCAGATATTTTTTTTATTTTCTCTATTTTTTTCATTTTTAAGCAGATTTTTATCAGATTATAATCCAGAAATTTGTTAACAAAACTCATGATTTTCTGGAACTAAAAAACTGGATTTTTTCCTGATTTTTGTTTTTTATTTTTTTTTACAGGGGTGGTGCAGCTATTTGCGAAAAGTTTTTAACAAATTTCCAGTAGTATCCAGCTAATCCAAGAAAAAATCAAAGTCCTTTTATTGTACGAGATTGTGGAAAATCAATAATCTTTTGTACAGTTGAGAGGTCAGGTGAGATTCCATTTTCATTTATCACATGTCCAAGGAAAAGTAATTTTTTTCGAATGAAGTTACATTTGACTTTGTTGAGCTTTAGTCCAGCTTCTCTTATTTATTAAAATATGAGTTGTAAATGCTGCAAATGTTCTTTAAATGTTTGGGAGAAGATATTTATATTATCAATGTAGACCATAGTGAATTTCCAATTGTAGTTTCCAAGCATTTTGTCCATTGCTCTCTGAAAGGTGAAAGATCTATTGCATACATCAAAAGGCATAACATTAAATTCATATAGTCCTTCATGAAAGGTGAAAGCTGTCTTTTGAATACTGTTAGGATGCATTTCAATTTATCAAAATCCATTGGTTAGGTCAATTGAGGAAAATCATTTTGCTTTTCCAAGAGCATCCTTCATTTCATCAATTCGGGGTAATGGATAAGCATCTTTTTTTATGATAGAGTTGAGTTTGCGATAATTAATACAAAATCTTTTTTTCTTTATTGTTATGACAATGGGTGAGACTCAGAGACTAGTCAAAGGTTGAGCTATTCCAGCATCTACCATTTTTTGAATTTGTTTGAAATGAACTTTTGATCAGGTAAAGTTGCTTGGTATGCTCTTTGTCTAATTGGTCATTCATTATCAGTATCAATTATATGTTGGACTTCATTGATTCTTCCAAGTTCATGGAGTTCAGCAGCGAATATGTCATTGAATTCTTCTAACAGTTGATTTAATACTTGATCTTGTTTGTCAGTTAATTCTCATCATTCAATTGATTTGTCTTCTTCTTTTTCTGGATTTAGGAAGTATATTATTATATTTTTACTGTTTGTTGATCCAAATTCACTGGTTTCATAAATAGAGTCTTCTAGTATTACAGTAATTCTGAATAGTGAGTTTCATTGAGAATCACTATAAGCATATGATGTTGGGAGAGAGATGATTAAACTTAAATAAAGAGAATAAATTATAAATATTAGCAAAGATTTCTAAGGCCTATACCAATATCTACGGATATTGTGTGTTCAAAGATCTAAATTACAAAAGTAATTTGAAAACAAGGTAAAAATATAAAGAAAAGAATAAAATAAATCAAAAGATTTATAACGATTAATAAGTGAAACCACTATTAACCAAAGAAAAACTAAATTAAAGTGTAAAATACTAATACTAAAAAGTATAAATTAAAAATAACAATTCAAATAAAATCAATATCATAAAGATATAAAAATCAAAAATATAAAAATCAAAAAGTATAAATCA